AAGCAAGAATTAATCTGTTTTGTTAGGTGCTGTTTTTGGGTCTTACAAATTCATATGGAAATTATTATGTTTAATCATTCCTCGTCGGTGCTTGCATAAAACGTGATTTGAATCTAAAATGTCTATAATGATATTGATAAACAATCAAAATTCTCTGTACAATATTATGCTAAACATTTACAGAGTGGACTTCCCTATGTTGTGGTCACATTAGACTGTAATATTATTATTAAAGAAGTCCATTCAACAAACAACATAAAACATATACTGTACATATCAAAGTTATTAGGTTAAAGTTCTCATGTCGGTGCATGCATAAAACATAATTTCCTAAAATTTGGATCTAAGATTGACAGACTGTCACCCACAATATTTAAGATATTCCATTCTACTTTGCAGCACTGTTATCTGAATCGTAAACTAATGAAATAAGTTACATGAATATTAATGAGGTTAAGGCAAAGTGGTAGTGTATGTTTCGTGCATTTAAGTGGCGAGAAAAAGCATGCAAATGTGTTTAAAAGGGTTAGTTTAAAGATTTCTAGCCAGGAGTTGAAGATAAAATATCTTGAAGGAAAGATGTGGACTGAGGAGTGTCGATTAAAGGACATATCAGTCGAGGCACATTTTTAAGATAAAAGTACAAGGCTTATAAGATAAAGCTTAAAGTAATTATATGTGAGTGATAGCTGAAGTAAGAGAGTTTCACAGTATTTTTGAGTCAAGAAATGAAGTAAAGAATTGACCGCGAGTACTGTTAATAGTTGATAAATCAGAATATCTACCTATCGGCATATATAGGGTATAGTACTAATTGTGCATGTATTTTGATATATTATATGAATACTTACCTTCAATATATACATATATATATATATATATATATATATATATATATATATGTAAAGGAAGGTGTGGTGTACGGTAAGAATGGCCCCGGAAAAAATTGCCCCGGTAAAAATGGCCCCATATGACATGATAGGTAAAAATGGCCCCATAATCAAAAACTGTATTAAAACTGGTTTTCTTGAGTCAATATATGCATTTTTGTATCTTAAATAATTTAGTTTTTAAAAGGAATCTAACATCAAACAAATTGCCATTTACATTTTACTTTTTGCAAGAATTAATATTCAATGATAAAATATTCAAAGATAAATAAAAAGCCATGAATTACAG